GGAGGCTGAGGCAGGAGGATTGCTTGAGCCAGGAGTTTGAGGTTGCTGTGAGCTAGGCTGACGCCATGGCACTCACTCTAGCCTGGGCAACAAAGTGAGACTCTGTCTCAAAAAAATAAATAAATAAATAAATAAAGGTAGTAATATCTTTTTTTACTAATTAGATTTCAAAGACTTAAAAGTTAATATCTAATATTGAGCAACACATTGGTGAACAGGCAGTCTCACACACTACTGTGTGGCAGAGCTGTATGAGAAAGGTACACGCATTTTATGTGTAAGTACCTGTCAGGCCCATAAATTCCATTTCTAATAATTTATTGTTAGGAAATAATTGGACACAAATTTGAATGTATGATAAGAAATGTTCACTAACATGTAGGTAGAAGAGAAAAAAAGGAAATAACATGTTTTATATTTCTTTCTTTATACTTTTCTATATTTTCTATATATTTTTCTTGAATTTTAAAATCAGAATGAACAAACCATTTTCATTTAGTGAAAATAATTTTTTTTTTTTTTTTTGAGACAGAGTCTCACTTTGTTGCCCAGGCTAGAGTGAGTGCCTTGGCGTCAGCCTAGCTCACAGCAACCTCAAACTCCTGGGCTCAAGCAATCCTACTGCCTCAGCCTCCCAAGTAGCTGGGACTACAGAAATGTGCCACCATGCCCGGCTAATTTTTTCTGTATATATTAGTTGGCCAATTAATTTCTTTCTATTTATAGCAGAGACGAGGTCTCGCTCTTGCTCAGGTTGGTTTTAAACTCCTGAGCTCAAACGATCCGCCCGCCTCGGCCTCCCAGAGAGCTAGGATTACAGGCGTGAGCCACCTCGCCCGGCCTGAAAATAATTTTTTTACTACACTTGATCTTAGCCAAAAGGCCGAGAAGCGATTGAAAATAATTTTTTTACAAAAAGAAAAAGGCAGGAAAAAATCTTGTTCCAAAGGGACTGCAATGTCAACTAATATACACCTCTGAAATGCCAAATTCCTAAAATTTCATCCTTCACTACATGGAAACCTTCAGAATCCAACAGAAAAATAAACCTTGGCTTTAAAAATGAACTTGGCCAAATCCACACATGTGATAAAATTAAACAAATCTAAATATACATACATACAAATGAGTGCGTATAAGACTGGTAAAATCTGAAAAAGGTTGAGGATTATATCAATGTCAATTTTCCAGTTGTGATAATGTTTTATTGCTATGTGGGATGTAACCATTGGGGAAAAGTGGATGAAGAATATATGAGAGCTCTCTGTATTATTTTATAAAATTGCATGTTTATCTCAAAATAAAAAGTTTATTTTAAAAAATGAACTTTGTACCTTGAGAAGGAAAATAGAAGAAACTGTTCTCAGAGCTGGGGCTGAATCATCACAGAGAGGCCTAATCTCAGATTCTCAAGCCTGGAGGCACGGCAGGGAAAGCAACTTTTGGTGAGCACCTACTGTGTACAAGGCCATTACACAGCTCAAGAATCTTTGAGGCAGGCCAGATGTGAGTCTGTTTTATAGGTGAAGAACCAGAGGCTCAGAGCCAGTAGTAACTCAGCAGTAACTTGTGGAGCAAGGATTTGAACTCAGATCTGCCTGAAAGCTCAGGCTCTTCCTATAATATCACACGGACTATATAGCTGGGAATGATTTAAAAGACAAGACAAAACAAAACCAAAGAACCCTTATTCAGTGTTATCCATATCAAGAGGCTTGGTGTAAAGAAATAAGTATTTGAATGGACCAAAAAGAAGGTGGAGCTGTAATTAGATAACAGAAATTTCAAAATGTATGTCTATATGTAAGTACCATCTATTGGGCATATCACTGCAGCCCTGACTATTATTAGAACATTCCTTCTAACACCCCAATGGACCTCCTTCTATCTAGTGATTCTTCACCAAGGAACAAACATGTGTTATCATGTTCCCTCCTTGATAAAACTGGATCTCCACTGCCAGTGTGACCCGTGCAAAGTCTGGGCCATGACCCTCTCTTCTCTTACGTCTCTTGAGTCTTTCTTATATTGCAAGATCCATCAGCTTTCCCACTTTCTGCTTTTACCCAAGGCCAGTTGATTATTTCTAGTCCTCCCAAGGCTTCCATCATTATGGACCCAGGTTGACATCTAACGTAAATATCCCATCCCTGTGGAGTCCAGGCAAGGATTGCAGGGTAGGTCTGCGAACCCCTGGAATTCTGGACAAAAGTATTAGGTCTGAACAAAAGGGCATATTTCTGGAAAGAGAACATTCACTTTATTAAATTCTCAATGTAGCCTGTGGCCTCTAATTGATAGAAACTATTCCTTTAATTTAATCAACTCCTTGGAGAAATGGCTGATTCCAGATCTGACACGAGAAACGCACAAACGAGCCTAAAACATCTAATCACACCAGAAACCAAGGAAGGTGTCAAAGACTGGGGTCATGGCACAAGGACTCAGGAGCCAACTTAAAGATGAGACAATTTGAGCATCAGTATGAATGATGTCTACAATGGACTAAGATGCATTAAATATGTTTAAACCCATGAGATCATAATAATACAAAAATGACTCATTGGTCACCTTTAGTGGATACTAGGGAATCATCCCATGATTTTGACAACTAGTAAATAAAAGGAAAGGGTCAAATATTTATTCTGCCTTTCTAGTACTTGCTATGTCTCATGGTAACCAAATAGTTGAAGAGGAAACCCTTCTTTTTATAGAAAGACTCCAGCTAATAGAAAATGAAGACAGACAAACAGACTAATACCATTTTTCAATTCCTAATGAAATACAATAAAAAGTCCACATGACATGATCATCCATGGCTGCTAACATTCCCCAAAGAGAATACCCAGATATTATGTGCTGGTGCTTCTTCTTTGTTCACTTTAAGTGACAGGGTCTTGCTATATTGCCCAGGTTGGCCTTGAACTCCTGGTCTCAAGCAAGCCTCCTGCCTCAGCCTCCCAAGTAGCCGGTACTACAGGTACGAGCTGCCGTGCCCAACTTTACGTGCTTTTGGAAGCATACAATACCGCCCAAATCTGACCAAGAATCTAGATCCAACTCCCAATTTACAGGAATCAAAGGAGCATTTTAAACAAACTGGAAAATGGTTTTGGGAAAATAACCCAGCTTCTTTAATAAATAACTTGCAAGGAAAAAGAAAAAGAAATGAAAGGAGAACCTATAGATTAAAAGATTACAGATACAGATATATAGATTCAAAGTGTCAATTCTTTGACTTTAATTAAAGTATAAACCTCATTTGGATCCTTATCAAAATAAATAAATGGTACAATGACATTATGAGACAATGGAGGAAATTTAAATGCTGACTGACAATCTGATGATTTTTAAGGACTTACTGTCATTTTTTAGGTATAATAGTGGTATTGTAGGAATATTTTTAAAAAGACTGTCTTTTATAGATACACACTGACATAGTTGTAGATGAAATAATACAATAGCTTCAATTTGCTTCAAAATAATCTAGGAGACAGGGAGAAGGGAGGTATATATGAAACAAGTTTGACCCATGACTTGGTCATTGCTGAAGTTGGGAGTCATAGCTGGGGTATAGCAATGCCCCTTATTGCACTTTTCCCTCTTCTTTCATGTATGCTTAAATTTTTCCACAATAAAAATAGTTAGCAATTAAAGATATAACCATTTTTCAACTTGTTTGGTAATGAAGGAAGCCCAGTATAAATATCAATTCTAAGGTATTGTCACTAGGTTATTTTAAAATAAAATTTCAAGGTAGTCTTTTAAAATTCAAAAATTATTTTAAAATAGCATTTGTGTGGCCCAAGTGATCACTGGCCAATTTTGAGTAATTTGATTAATTCTAACACATATTAGAAACATCTAAATTTGCTTTTCTCCAGATTAAAAGAAGTAAATTGGCCCTGGGTGCTCTGTCTGGCGGGCCAGCCGGCCACTGCAGGGTCATCTAAAAAAAAAAATAAATAAAAAAATAAATAAATAAAAAATAAAAAAAATAAATTTGCTTTTCTACAGAAGAAAAGGAAAAAAATTTCTTATAACCAGTCTCAGTTGCTTGCTCAGGCATACCACCCACACTGCTGCAAGGCGGGTAAGCCAATGAAATGAAATGCCGGCAGGATTTTGACAATGATTTACCATACCATTGAAGTGCCATGTCAATATGCTGGGAGGAAAAGCAATTCATGTTTTATTTAAATTAATTCTTTATGTGCTCTTTATTTCCAGTTGAAAACAATGTTGCCAGCCAAAACCTAATGTCTGTTTAAAAATTAACAATGTAATTTCAAACATCACTGATGAAACACTAATTTAGCACAAGGCTTTAAAGATTGGTTCAATCACCACAGGTTATTAAAACACTTCTCCAGTCCTAAATTATGACCAAGCATTGCTAAAGTAATAAACACGCATAGTTGTGGGGGTGGGGGGAGAAGACATTTTCTCCTGTACAGGCTTATATTATATTCTCGAGAACAATATGTGCCTTTTGGAATCTGTGCTGTGACAGGCAGGTGCACCTCCGGGAGCTGTTACTTCTTAATTACACAGGAAGCTCCATTCCCAGGGCCTTCTGCCCTCCCCCCTCCTTTCCTACATTAGTAAACAGCTGGGGAATTAATCAAAGCTTCAAAGGTTGATGATAACAGGTGGTGACAGATTGATGCCCTGCAGCCCAGGTGAACAGCAGTACAGTGGCCAAAACTGACTTCATGCCAAACCTGCAGCAGAGATGGCTTCAGAACAGGGGGAAATTATTTTCACTTCTCAAGAAAGGAGAAAAATAAATTGGTGATCAGACTCACACTAGACACCAAAGTGGAATGCTGCAGCCTTCTCAACTTTGTAGGCTTCCCATGGGTAGTCATAGCGAAAGAGAAATTATGGAAAGAAATGAAACACTTTCAGAACTTGAGGAGGAAACACGCTAGTGAGCAGAATCACTGAGTGACGGCATGCAGAAGGCTTTTAGAGAGCCTAGGGTTCGATCTCCTTACCTCGTGGGGGAGCAGGCCCAGGGAGAGGTGACTTGTCCCAGGTCAAAGCAAAATAGGAACAGCTCGAGGCTTAGAACTCACTTCTGATTCCCAGAGTGAGGCTCTTCACACTGGTATGATAAATATGGTATGTGGCACTCAAGGGCCACAGTAACAGCGTACCCAGGGGCAGGGCGGGGTGAAGTCATTCAGGCAGCACTAAGAGCTTCCGTGTGGCGGCTGGCATAAACCTGTCTTGGCTACTGCTGATCCCCAGCTCAAGGGTCACGAGAGCATCCTCAGTGGATGAGGTAGCACACAGGTCTCTGGTCTGCTCTAAAGCTTTGAGGATTGGCCTAAATTCAGACATTGGAAAACAACCAGCAAAATCAAGGCACGGATGGAGCTCCAGCTGCTCTCTCCTGGCTATTAAGAACAGTCTCCTCAGGGGAAGTTGGGAAGGAAGACTTCTCTCTGCCCCAGCAGAAACTGCCTGGAAGCTCAGTAGCTGCCTCTGTACCAGCTTTGCCCTCTGGACCAGCCGGTTTGCCCCAGAGATGCCCACGGAGGCTCCCCTCAATGTCTGTCAAACTACAACTTCAAACCTAAGAGCGTCTGTAGCACGACTGGACTGGATCCCAGCCTGATCCAAAAACTGTAGAGGAGCATACTGGCCCCTCTCGGAAGAATGGGAGGGACACCCTCTGTGCCACCCCTCCTGGCAATGCCATAAGTCTTTGCTCTGAAAGGAGCCGGACTTCAGAGCCAGCTAGAGGTGCACCTGGGGCAAAGACATCACAGATTGTCAGGGCACCCGCTCTCATTCCCGAGGAGCCTGACCCCTGCAGAGGGGCACCTTTGAATGATCATGCATGGTGAGGGTGGGGTAAGGAAAGCAAAGAGGGGAAATGACAGCTGCGTAGAGCCCCACCAGTTCCTTTGAGGACAGAGCAGAGGGAGCCCCTAGGGGTCCACACCCCAGTGTGTCCAGGCCTGATTTGGGCACAGAGCTCACACATGCACCCTACCTATCCCAGTGCTAGCTGGCCAGGGATGGCAGACTGCCCCCCGGAGCTCAGACTGCAATTGGGACCGAGACAGGGGCAGGAATTTATAGCTCATCCACTGGCCCTGTCTTCATGCAAATAACCTCACCTCTAGGATCTCAAGACCTCGAGGAGAAGCCACAGTTATTGATGTCACTTGCAAGGCCACCTCCTGTCTACCCTGCCTCTTTACTCCTTCCCAGCTGCAAGAACTTTTCTTCCCCTCAGGGCGACTTTGGACCAGATCTTGAAGCTGGGAGACCCGCCCCAGCCCGCCCGCCCGGGACGGGCCTGGCGCACGGGTGCGGCCGAGTCGTGCTGGGACAGCTCTGCGCTGCCTCTCGGGCACAGCGGGCCGCTACAAGCGCAGATCCGGATGAGAGAGGAAGGAAACTAATCCTCCAGGGGCCTCGGGGAAGCGCCAGCCTTTGGGTGCGGAGCAGTCAGAACTGGGATCTATATGGCGGGGAATGAATGAATGAATGAATGAATGAATGAATGAATGAATGAACGAGCACATGAATGAATGAACAGCGATGGTGGCGGGGTGGGAGGGACCACGGGAGGCGTCCCGAGGAGGGCGCCCTCCACTGCGCTGATGCTGGCGGGACCGTCTCTCACGCCCGATTCGGAGCGCGGACGCAGCCCGGACACGCTGTGCCTGCGCGAACAGCCCGGCCCCGGAGCCCCGGCGGCGCGGCGCGGCTCGGCCCCAGCCCGCGTTCCGGGGGCCGGGGGGTGCCCGCTCCGCGGGCAGAGCGCGCCGAGCCGCTGCGGCCCCAGCCCCTTACCTGCCCGCCTCGGCGGCCTCGGCCCGGCCCAGAGCGGTCATCGCGGCGCCTGCACCTAGCGCGGCGGACAGCGCGGCGGACCGCGCGGAGCCAGACCCTGCCCGGAGCGCCCGCCCGCCCATTGGCTGTTCGCGGGACGGGGCCCGCCCCCGCCCGCCCATTGGCTGCGCGCGGCACGGGCCCCGCCCCCTTCCCACACGCCGCGGGAGGGCCCAGGTAGGGCACACGCTTGGCGCAGCGCCGAGCCGGGTCCCGCAGACTGGAAGGTCCCGGGAGCCAGGGCCTGGGCTGGCACGTCGTGTCCCTCAAACCGAGGGTCTTGCGTCCGCTCCAGGCTTTTCTGTCCTCCTAGTCTTGGAGCCTGGTGCCCCCTGGAAGAGCCGGCTCCCACTCCCTCCAGCCCCTCCCTCCCACCCTTGAGCTCCAAGCTGCTTCAACTTCATCAGGTAAGTGAGGGTGAAAAGTAGGGGATTTTGAACACGCTAGTCAGGACAGCCAGGTCACCACCACAGGGGCCCGGGAGCCAGGATGCTCTCGCCCACTTTCACCGGAGCTGTTCTCTTTACTGTCTCTCCAAGGAAATACGCTTTTGGAGGAGTCTGCAGAAGGACTGAGGGCGGCTAGAGACTAAGGGGAGGCGCACAGGCAGACGAGCTCAGGGTGTGACAACAAACTAGGCTGCACTGGGCAGCGAATACGGACCCAAAGGTCCCATTCTCCAATCTGCCTGGCCTGCAGGCTCTCTTCTCTCCTATCCCCTCCAGGTCACTTGGTCCTTGAGAGTGGCTGGTAAGGAGGGCGGGCGGGCACAGGCCAGATTTGGTCCCATTCCCAACCCTCTCCCACACTGCCTTGGCCCTGCTGTCATGGAGGGAGGTCACTGACAAACGGGGGGATCCAAGGGGAGCCTGGGTCCCCAACCCTTTTGGCACCTGGGAGCAGAGCCCAGCCTTAAGTGCCCAGAACAGGGACTCTTCCTACAGCTCCCGAAAGGGGTCTCTATTGCAGGGAGACCAAAGGGGACAGCCAGGGGCAGTTTACTCCTTGGATTTGCCCACCAAAACAAGAGGGAGAGGCCCTTGACCCTGCCCTCTCCCATCTCTGGTCCATATAAGCCATTAAAATCTCCCCAGCTGCAGAAGCTTTTAGACACAGCTGCCCCACCTCCCCAGAGTGCTGAAGCGGTAACCTGTACCCTCAAGACGGCCAGCTACTGCTCTCCCAACACCTCTGCACCGGGGAGGTGGGACAGGATGTCAGGCCAGCTGACAACACCATAGCACCCACCACGAGGCATGAGGCAGTTTCATGCTGCTCAGAGGGCAGGGGTTCAACCACCTCCCCCAAACCCCAGCAGAAAAGAGAGGAAACAGGTGCGTCAGCTGTTGTTTATTGACATACAGGTAGGCTCTATAGCAACAGGCCCGGAGGCAGCTGCAGTAGCAGGGAAAATGGAAGGTGAGGGTGGAGTGTTTGTCTGCAGCAACAGGTGAGTGGAGTGCAAGGCAGAAGAGCACAGTGCACAAGGAAGGCCGTGGGGTTGGGGAAGCAAGTAAGGCCCAGAGCCTACTTAAACTGGAACCACTGCCCCATGCCCTAAGGCCCCTACTCTTGCTGGCTGTTTCCTGACCCCAGGCCAGAGTTGAAACTTCTCTGGGCATCCATTTTCTACAAGAACCAAACCAGGTACACAAAGGAAAGGGAGCTGTTGCCCTCTTGCCATAGGATCTGGGGGCCTCCAGTCTTGCAATACTTTGTCCCTTGCTTGGGTGGGGCCACATGATGGGCAAGCCAGGCTCTGAGCTACCCCACCTGAGCAGGGTCTACAAATAGCCATGTTTCACAGCGGCAAAAATCTTCTCCCTGGTGTCCCAGCCCACCAGTGCCACACTACCACCCAGAGTGAGCTCTACAAGCATTGCTGGCCTAATGGACGGGTCGCGGGGAGGGGATGGGATAGGGGCTGGAGGAGGGGCTTTGGGGTCCATCATGGCACAGGCACTACACGCATGGTGTTGGTAAAGCCCGAGCCAGGGCGCCACCCAGTCAGCACAATGACCACATCTCCCTTCTTGAAGAAGCCTCGGGCCTTGCCTGGAGGAAAAAAAGAGAAGCTGGTGAGTAGAAGCCAAGCCAGGCAGGCCCACACCAGGGTGGCTGCCCTATACACCAGGGCCCTGCCAGAGGCAGCGAGCAAGGCTGGCTGACCATTCCTTCCTCCACCACGAGGTGGCGCCAGCTTCACAGCCCAGGCAAAGGGGACAAGGGAGGCCCTGGGATTTCCTTATACTCAACTGGCAGAGTTGACAGGGACCTTTGGATAGCATTCCCTTTATTCCCTAGAGTGGAGAGCCTTGCCCAAGGTCAGAGCTAGCTGCTTCCTCTCATCCCGTGACATCCTACCTTATACAGGGACAAAGGCCACATCAGTACTTAATGTGCATGTGCCACCCCCCACAGTGCAAAAGTTCTAGCCAATTTTATTTTTTTAAAAACCATAAGCAAGTAAGGGCCGGGCATGGTGGCTCATGTCTGTAATCCTAGCCCGCTGGGATGGGCGGATCGTTTGAGCTAAGGAGTTTGAGACCAGCCTGAGCAAGACCCCGTCTCTAACTAAAAATAGAAAGAAATTAGCTGGACAACTAAAAATATATACAGAAAAAAATTAGCCGGGCACAGTGGCACACGCCTGTAGTTCCAACTACTTGGGAGGCTAAGGCAGGAGGATCACTTGAGCCCAGGAGTTTGAGGTTGCTGTGAGCTAGGCTGATGCCACAGCACTCTAGCACCAACAGAATGAGACTCTGTCTCAAAAAAAAAAAAAGAACAAACAAAACCTCAGTAATGAGCAGATGCCAAAGAATGGACAATTTTGCTTTGGGCTGCAGACTGGAAGAGTGAGGAGAGGGACTGAGTTGCTCAACCCTACTCAAAGGCCCCTCTTCCTCCGGGGTTCAGTCAGGACCACATGGAACGGGAGGGGATTCAGAATATTCCCAGGGAGGGTGAGGAGTAGTCAGCTGGGCCTCTTGCCCTCTAACGTCTAAATGTTACCCTTTCTGTTCCCCAAACTTTCAGGGCCCAGGAGAGGCCAGTGCTCGAGCACCCCCACACCTCCAAGCTCTAACCCTTGCTCCTGACCACGCACCAACATTCATGGCCAAGTTCACCCGGAGGTCCACATCCTCAGCCCAGGCCTCCTGGGCTGCGTCTTTGCACAGCACAGGGAAGATGCCACGGTACAGGTGGGCCTGGCGAGCTGTCTGGGGATTCCGCGTCACAGCAATGATGGGGGCACGTGGGCGGTATCTGGCCACCTGATGAGCAGACCTGAGAAGGGATGGGGACAGGCAGAAGAGACCATTACACAGGGCCCCAGAGGCCTCCCAGGAAGCACCGCAGGGCCTTGAGCAATCGCTCACCTTCTAATCCCACTCGCTATGCCAGTCTGAAGGCTCTGGCCACTTTAAACATCTGGGACCCTTCTGAGAACAGGGAGCTGCCTCCCAAGGCTGGGGCAGCCCCTCATCCTGTACCCTCTACAGCATGCTACGCTACCATTTGCCCTCTACCCCTGCCCACAGGCCAGGCCCGCAGGATCAGCCCGACCCAGCATGGTCAGTCTCACTCACTCACTCCACATGGTCCGCGGCTGGCAGAACCCTGCTCACACCCTGAACTCTGGCACAGAGAGGCAGCCCAACCTCACCAGCACCCATTCCTCTGCTGCCGGTGCCAGCTACCAGCCAGCCAAGCAGCATGTGAATAGCACCTGACTCTCGACATCTGCAGAGGACAGCAGCAGAGCTGACCCGCCTCCTGGGAGTCAACAACAGACTTCTCTACTATGTGCCCTTCCCTCACCCCACTGGGGTCCCCTAGGTCCCTGAAACAGCCCCAGAGTCAAACCTGAGTATCTACATGAGGCTTGGAAATGTAGGTGCTACGCAGGAGGCAAGAATGAGACATGGGAGTGGTGACAGGAGAGCAGCTCCAGCTGAAGCCCCTCTGCCAGGTGTGTCCCTGAACACCGGCACTGAGCATTTACAGCTGCGGATGTGTCTGAACAGTTAGGGAGGGGCTTGCAGAAGGAACTGGGTCCCAGAAGGCAAGCTATTAGGACACTCAACAGGTGTCAGGGAAACTTAAGACACATCCCAGTAGAGAATGCCCTTGCACTTCAGGCCTGGCCTCCATACAAGGCCTTCAGAGGAACAGCTGCTGAAGTCAGGACTAGAGGAGTGAAATCCCAGAAGACTAGAGATAAAAATAGCCAAATAGCTATGCTTGGACCTTTTTACAAAGGTCAACCCTAACGACTGGACCTTTTTACAAAGGTCAACCCTGATGGTTAAAGCTGTTTAGCCAAGAGTGGCAGGCCTGAGCCCTCTGCGAGGGCACCTGCCCTGGTTCTCAGGGCAGTCCCCTTCTTGCTCTTCTCCACCCTCCTCTCTTCCAGGAAACCTTCCCCGCCTTGAGGGCAGGAAGGAGCAACACACTCCTAGAAGGGGGAGGGAGGGCTACTGAATGTCCCCTGCTGTGAAGGATCCCAAGCATAGGCCAGGCCAGGCCAGCCCTCAGCCCGGCTGCCTGGCCCCATGGAACACCAGCAAGGCAGCACCACGAACTTTCTGGGCTGGAATGCACCTGTCTTTAGGGCTCAACGACACATGGGGGCCAGCGCACCGAATGGGGGCACAGTGAAACTGCGTTTTTAAAAAGCATATAGCAACTGAGATAGGTAGAAATGGCTGTTGTTTGCTATTTTAGAGGACCAGCTTTTAAATATCAACCATTTACAGCCACCTATCCATGGTTATACGCAAGTCTCCAGGGTA